AGTGTGCTGAGGAAATGACCACCAAAATGCTTTTCACCAAAAGCATTAGGGTGCTTTAGGATGAAGAAAAAGTGACCATTCAGAGCAAGAGATCTGACTGTGTAATACTTCAAGATGTACACTTATAATCTCGGCATTTCTCAGAAACTGGGTTCTCACTCCCCACCGCCCCAAAAAAGAAAAAAAAAACCCAAAGAAATAAAAAGTGAAAACATGTGAGTCACTGTACTGTTGATGTGAAATGGGGCATATTCTGTAAGCTATTATGGAATTAGCGCTTGGAGCCTTACTTCTGCAAACAGCTCTGATGATCTCTGTCCTCAGCTCCAAATGCCCCCAAGGATCCCACTGCTTCCAGAATAAAGCCCTTGATCCAACAGCACCCAAAGACCTTCCGCTCTGGGCCTGAGTCTGATACAGATCTAACGTCTGCCCTGCCCTGTCCACGCACTCCAGCTGCTGCCCACCTTCCTACCTGCCTCCTCTTTACAGCTCATTCTGGTTTTCATGTGGGTCTGTATCCCACTCAGTTGTGAGCTCCTATGGCGAGGAGTATCACCTGCGTTCCCCACGTGTGCCCGCGTGCCCCATACGCGGACGTCAACAAGTGTTTGTCCAACTGCGCCACTCCTCCTGCCGGGGACCAGCATCCAAGTGCTGTGTGCTTGCTTTCAAAGAGGCTGTCCCTTGGTCATCTCGAAGAAACCTTCCCAACCTGCCCCAGGACCCAGGCACCTGGCCTCTTCCCCAGGCTCCCCTGTGCACCCCGCCCACCTTGCTTGCCTGACTCCCATAACGGGTGCTCATTTATTACTATGTTCCTAGTGCCTTGCCCAAAGGAGACGTGCGATGCCTCTTGCAGAAGGAACAAACCTTTGGATCGCAACTGCTCCACTCTGCTCCGCAGACCCGAATGTCAGAGCTACAAGACCACACAGTTCCTGCGTTAAGTCCGCACAGCTACATACACACTGGGTCCCGGAAGGATTTAAGATGAAAGGCATCAAAACTGCCCTTTCCTCTTCCATGGCTCTGACCGTTTCTCAGTGTTTCTAACACAGCATCTGTTGGCTAGCTTACGGAAGCCCAGAACTACAAAAGGCAGAAGAAAACTCTGTCACCACTGTATCGTTCACTTTTTTGGCAGCTGCGCCACAGCAGAAGGTCCTAGCATTTGCTTATGAAAAGAGATCACTATGGGTAGAAATTCTTGGAAGGCCTTCTGACAAGCGTGCAGGAGCCCTGGACCTGCTCTGGCTGATCTCTGCTGCCTGTGGCGGCCCCTGGCATCTGAGACGCTGTCCTCCTGTCCCAGAAAGTCATACCTCTCCAGGGCACAGACCTGATGTAGCTATTCTCCAGGTGCCCAGGTGTGGAGGAGACTCTGGGGACTCCCTCCCCTCTGCCTTTCAGTTGTGCCTGCAGTTTCTACACTGCCCACACGCATCTCCATGGCCAGAGCCTGTCCTGGGTCCCGGGCACTGCTGCTTCCTTGGTGCATGTCAGCAAGGAACGGGACCACAGGCTTGAGACTGGAAACCCGGGATGGTTGGGCTGGAGGATTTTCACACTCACGCTCCTAATTCCTGACAACGGTGCCCCAGCATGAGAAGCCTGGTTCAATCCCAGGAGGCCCGGTGCATCCGGAGTGGATTTCTCCAGGAAATCGCCCCTGCATGACCCTGCAGGTTCAGCGCTTGCTCTAAGACCCACTCCTGCCGTGTAAATAGATGATCACAAGGCACCCGATAAATGAGGCCTGGGCTACGTGCTTGGATGTAACCCACCGAGGACAGCACAAGGCAGTGACGGTGCCACGCATTTTAATGGTGTTTCACGGCTGCTAGGGCACTTGCGTGTACAGTGTCTCATCTGATCACCCAACAATCTCGCGTGCGAGACAATGCGTGTGTCATCATGTTCCACTTACAAACGAGCATCCGAAGTTCGCGGAGCTTCCAGGACCACCCGTGGAGCCCCTCCTCCCTCGAAAGTAGCAGGACCGGGAGTCAAACATCCCCAGGGCCCGAAGTGAGTCACTCATCAGTGCTATGTGGTATGGTGAATCCTGACTCCTGCACTCGGTCACACTGGCAGCGTTTAAAAACCTGTAGCCAAGTCTCCCACCTCCAGGGCTGTTAGAGTCCAACAGCGGCCCCAGGGCCAGCAGCAGCACCAGCAGCAGCCCTGGGAAGCTTGTCAGAAAAGTATAATCTCTGATCCACCCAGACCTACCAAATTAATCAGTGTCCGCCCTTTGGCAAGATCCCAGGTGCCCTCGCTGGGTTTCTGGGGCTCTGTGCCGGGCAGTGGACTCTTTCCTCTCTGCTTTGGCTGCCGTTTCTAGCTTCACGTTGGGGAAACCTAGCCTAGCGGGGGGAGGGCTTGGGGAAATGAAACTTCCGTCTGATGGCTTCCTGACAGCCCCAAGAAAAGCTGTCTTCACTGCTTCCCTCTCTGTGAAAAAGGTTTCTATCTTTGCTCTTTTCTGCCCAGTCTCTTGCTGAAACACTTCTTTTAGCCAGAGACACATGTCCTCAGCTCCCTCTAGATCTTTCCCTCACCGGCACTCATTCTGACAAAAGCCCCAAAATGGAAGGTGTGATTTCTGTTTTCCTTGGCTTCCAGGAATCCCAAAGTCAGTTTCGAGAACGCTGATGTGAGCTGTGACAGAGTCACCAGCTCTTAAGTCAAGTCAGTGATGTTTAAGTGTTTGTCTCCCTTTCCTGTGGAAGAATCTTTCCTTGCCCCTCCAGTGGTGTGCGCGGCTTGACTGGCTACCATAACGGTTGGTGAATGGACAGCTCTGCTCAGAGTGGATTTTCAAGGAAGATTTTATGAAAGTTTTTCTTTTTTTTTTAAGAGGCAGAGCTTAGATTTATTGTAGAAACTGGGCAGGGTGTTAGCCGGCTTCTCTGATCATGTTGTGATTATCGGCCCTGCCCGCCACCACTCTCCAGCTGACTCTACCTCCATCATCTGCTCATGGTCCTTCCCAGACACTTTCTACAGGGACACAAGGAGTCAAGGTCATGGTGGCTGACGCCTGTGTTGAACTAATCCAAGTGAGTGACCTCTCCTTTTCCCCACCTGGACTCTTTAACCACCACCGACCATGGGTCCTTCTGTGTTGTTCTTGGCAGTCAGTTAAGGGCTGCGGGGCCTGTCCCGAGTGGTCAGCAGTGCCTGTCTTTGTCCCGAGGTGAGCAGTGGTCACATGTGGGACATGTGTGTAAGGTGGCCGCCCCGTCCTGCCCTCAGGGGAGGCCTTGTTTCAGCACAAGGGGTGAAGGGAGCAGGGAAGCACGTGTCGCCTTCTCTGCCAGTGGCCCTCTCTCAAGAAAGGCCGCATACGCTCACTTTCAGCTCTTTGTTAAGAAGAAGGAGCTCGATATTCTAGTCGGTTTAAGGAAAGGGGAACTTCTAATGACCAACTATGCTGAGAGCTACACAACCGTCAAATACATTGTTTACTGAATACTGGTTCTCATCTGTGACCAAAAGCAGACTGTTACTTCCCTCTTGCCCTGGGGACAATCGTGGGTCTTACCAAAGTTGCTAAACCTGTTTCAGTCGGCTTTTGGCTGCTCTTCAAGAAAGGTACATTAAGTGCCTCTTTGGTAATTTCTGGCTGGTCCATGAGCTACTGGTTTAATTTAATATTGAGAACACCGCAGGCTTGGGCCCTGGTTCTACACTCCAGGCCCCTCACTCCTGCACCAGACCCCGTCCTCAGATTTTGCTCTGAATCCTGTCCCCTAAGGGGATGTGCGAGGCTGCCTCGTGACTCAGTCCACGCTCACGCAGCCCTTTCCTCTAGATGCAGTGATCTGATTTACAACTTGGTTTCCCAGAGGAGCCAGTCCAAATTCCCTCCAAGCTGTACAAAAGTTGGGGACCTCACACCTCCACCTGTAACTTTACAGGGACATCTAATGGTTGGTTCCTGGAGAACCAAAGATCCTGATCTGAGTCTGGACCTCCGTTCCCCGAACCCTTGGCTCCCTGGACCCGTGGTGTTTTTAGTTATCTTGTGACTTCTGATGGCAACGTCAGAAGAGGGCTGAAGCTTGAAGCAGATAGTACAGGAGACCTGCTGGTTTACGGGGTGTGTGTTTGGTGAGGTGGGGTGAAGGGCGAAGAAGGTGGTAGTGAAGGAGTGAAGAACTGTCAACTTTGAAAATCCACCCCCCCCCCTTTTGGGGCTGACCCCAGCTAAGCTCCCAGGGCCCACTAGGTCACCTTGGCCAGCATTCTTTCCCATTTCTTTTCCGACTAGGTCAGATTTGGGCCAGCAGGAAGCCCTTGCCACAGCCCACAGAGGTCCTCCAACTAGGACAACCGTGAGATCCCACAACTGGCCTAAGATCCTCACTCAAGGTCAACACCAACGATCTGACTTCTGAGGGGGGCTGGGGGAACCCTGCCGTCTGTTGAGGAGCAAGGTTTGTCAGGGTTCCTGGCTTCTTTGTGCAAGGAAAGCCACACCAGTGGACTCCATATGAGAAAGAAGAGTCAACAAAATTCAGAGACTGCTTTGATTTTGAGAGCCATGCTGCGGGGTAACCGGACCCAGGCAATCCCATCACCAAAGGAGGGAATGTCTTGGGTTGGAAGGGGAATGAGTAATCAATTTTTTGCAGCGAACATCTCCCCGAGGGGAGGTGAGCCACAGGAAGCAGCCATGTCCCCTGGCCTCACAGACTCATGGTGCTAACCCCAGCCTGAGGAGGACCCACCACGGGCTCTCTCTAGAAGATGCTGCCTTTTATTTTGTATAAAGGAGTTCTTAGGGCGGAAGACACTGGAAGCTGGTGTTTACCATCCCCAGGGGGGAGAGAATCCCAATCGTGGCTCCACTCAGACAGCAGGTGACTCTGGGACCTCTCCCCAGTGCTCCCACCAGCCCAACACAGCGCCGGCTGCCAGGACAGCCCAGCGGCATCAGCACTCGGGAGAGCAGCCCAGAGCTCAGGGCCTGCCGTCCACAAGCTGCCTACCTGTATCTCTGCCTCACAGACTGCTTCTCCTCCGACTTGCAGACGTGCCCCACATAATACAACGGGAAAAACAGAAAGTTCCAGTTGGTGGCAAACCACGTCAAGGTGAAGGGAGCATCGAACTTCCTGAAGGTCAGCTTGGCGAGCTGCGTGGAACCCGCCCAGGAGGAACACACGCACAGCACCACCGCCACGCCCCAGAAAATCTTCTTGAGCTGTGCCTGGGAGCATCTCCAGCAGGGGTGGCTCGTTCGGCCGCTGGCATCCGCCCCAGCCGGCGCCTGGGCCTCCGCCGGGCCCGGGGAGTCCCGGGGGCGCTCCTCCCCTGGGGGAAGAGAAGGGGTTGGTTAACTGGGGGGCCTCCATACCTTCCCCTCGCTGCCCCAGACCAAGGCGTGAGCAGGAGCAAGGAGGCACCTGACCCCACTGCCGCAGTCATGGCCTGCCACCCTGGGTGTGGGGATGGGGGGGTGCGAATGAGGGGTTGTGGCAGCAGCTTTCTGAACCAGAACTTAAACAGAAGACATTTTTCACGGGTCTTGTTACCCTCCAGGATCCTGACCTTCACAGTGTGGTCCGTGGGCTAGCAGCATCGGCACCCACCCACCCCCCCCAGCTTGCTGGAAACGGAGCATCTCAGGCCCTGCTCCGGCAGCCCAGAAGCCGAAGCTGCATTTCAACAGGTGATCTGGGTGCACATCAGCATTGGGAAGCACATCTCCAGCTCACTCGGGCTGAAGTCTTTCCACTCTGGTCCGTGTCAGCTCACCTGTCCTGCCGTGCAACAGGGGCACCGGGCATGCCAGGGGCCGGGGCTGCCTGCATGAGAAGGTCATAGCCCCTGACCTCTAAAGGCTCCCGGGACACTGCGAGCAGCTCTTCCCGCCTGTTACTTACGGGCACAAATGCCGAGACACCCATCGTATTTTTGCGTTCCTGGCAAAAATAGACCTTGCTCTCTGATCTCTTATCTGCCTCGTCTTCCTGCTGATGGCCTTTGGTTCCACCTCGAAGTGTTACTTAAAAACCACAGCCTCTGGCAGCCGCTGCTGTGGAAGGCCTCAGACACGCCATCCCAAGCCACGTGACTTCTGGAAACCAGGCTGCAGCCCACAGCATGGCTCTGGGGCAGCGCTGTTCCCACAGCCCGCGAGGGGGTGAAGAGACCTTATTTCCCACTGTTGGGTTTTCATTCATGATTGTGTGCCTGTCAGTCAGCTGGAAATTCAAACAGAGCTGTAACGTGCACAGGGTGTCACCACGGACAGACGCAAGTATCCGGGAGATAGCGTACTTGCCTGCCATCTGCTCAGCCTGGCCCTTGGCTGAATGGGGGGTGCCCAGTGCTAAAAGGTGGTCTCTACCACAGGGGTACAGGAGATCATGCAAAATATACCGGGGTCACACCTACTCTGTATATTTTGTTTAATGACATTAAACCAAGCTCGTAATTCCTAAAACACAGTAATTCCACGAGGCAAATCCTGAAAGCAGCCTCTAATTCAGGGGTTAGCTAATCCTGTGAAGAATGAACGGCCAGCCCCGGCTGTACCTGTTTTAGCCAAGGGTAATCCCAAGCCTTATGCGGCTTGTGAGGGAGAGATCACATCCTTTATTAGCCCCAATCCTACTCGGCCCTCTCTGTATTGTGCTTCCTAAACTGCTTTATTAATGTTTACTATCCGTCTTCCTCTTACTTCTCATGCGAGTATGTAGGATAGCCAGGAAGCCTCTGGAGAATCAAATGCATAACCATTCTCTGAGTTTCCAGCAAGGTGTGTGTTTCCGTCATGGAAGAGAGGACAGGGAGAGGCACAGAAGGGTGAAAACGAAGCAGGGTCCCTCCTTCTGTGTTATGCCCTCCCACCAGAATGTCTGGACGTTGTTCTCAGTAAATCCCCACAACTTAAGGCAAATTCGATAGAAGCGTGCACGTTTCAATTTATACACTGATTGCCTGACATCATGGGTGAGCCCGCAACCTTTCACTATTGGGATAATTGCCAGGCAGTGTTGGGGGTGATCTCTCAACTATCATGACCACTGTCAAAAACTCATATGGAAAAGACAATTATGGAGATAAAAAAAAAAAATCTGTGGAAAAAGAAAATACAGTTTCACACAACTAACTTCCTACTGAAGACGGACTCTGGAGGAGGGTGAGTAAATTCAGGCTATGGCTTGTTTTTATCATTTAGTTCTTCATTGTGGCAAATTCAGTTTTAAAGCTCAAAGAATTAAGTGATGACAGATGCCATGTCGTGAGATGATGACAGAGAAAGTCACCAGATCATATGATATTGTGTTAAAATGCTCCCATAGATGTGGAATAAAGAAGTCATACTCTTAACTTTGTCACCCTTTCAGATCATTTAACCAAAGTAATCCTTAATAATATACAAGCAATACAAAGACATCCAAAGCTAAAATCTATGCTATTTTTTAAAAATCAGATAGAACAATGCTTCCCAACATGTTAACAGGCATTATAAGAAAAAAGGATTCCATGATCAGAAAAGTTTGGAAAATACTAGGTAGATCCAGGTTCCTTTGCTTTAGGAATATTCAGGGCTAATGGACATTGTGAATTTCCACAGCCATAGAATGTGTGTTTCCTTTATTATTATTATTATTATTATTATTAAAGATCATTTGAGAGAGAGAGAGTGCACACACGTGCGTGCCTGAGTTGGGGAGGGGCAGAGAGAGAGGGAGAGAATCTCAAGCAGACTCTGTACTGAGCACAAAGCCTGACACGGGGCTCGATCTCATGACCCTGAGATCATGACCTGAGCTGAAATCAAGAGCTGGCCATCCAACCAACTGAGCCACCCAGGTGCCTTTGTTTCCCATATTATTTAAATGTAATGCCTGCGGTAGGAATGGTACCCCTTGGAACACACTTTGGGAAACACTGGAATAGAGCCACAAAGAATCCTAGGCATTTAAACCCAATTCATCACAAACTTTCCATTTCAGTGTACTGATCCTCTGATGATAATAATTACTTATCAATTTCATTACCTCACTCCTTCCTAATACTTCTGTTAGAGTAGACCTACTTCCCATAAACTAAAAAATATTCTTTGTACGTCATTTATAAAAGTACCGAAGAGCATAACTAATAAAGAATACATACTAATCTGAGTACTCAGAGATAATACTGTTGAGATTTTGCGGCATTTTCCCTAGTCTTTTGTGTCTTTGCAACACACACACACACACACACACACACACACACACACACAGCAAAACTGGGATCATATTATATTTCATCCAGCATTCATTTAACCGAATGCACAAAGGCATGGACTTTCTCAGTCTCAGAGGGCTTCACACAGTGTGACGTACCACAGGAACGTCTCAGTTGGCTAGGGAACAGCCATGAGCATCCGCCCTGTGCCATCCGCCCTGGACAGTCAATAAAATAAATACAAAGCATGATTACTCTTCAGGAACTTAGTCTGTCTGGAAGTGACAAACAGACCTAGGAAAGCATTACAGAATAATTATGTGCAAAGCATATTTTAGCTTTAACGGAAATCCTGAACAGAGCATGGCCAGCGTGGGCCGTGATAACAGTGGAAAGAACCAGATGACGCAGAAACCTGGCCGGGCTCTTGAAAGACAGAAAGGCTCTGAGTAAAAAGGGGAGCAGAGTTCAGGGTCAGGAATACACATGGTCTGCCGAGGGGCAGTGAGCGAGGCCGTGGGATCAGAGCACCACTGCCGCCTTGCCCCACCGGGACACCCAATGTTGCCTTGGTCAGACATTCAGGCCAAGAGGAACAGAGAAGATTCAGATGTTAGTCCTACTTATTAGGAAGTACATACCCCAGTGTCTCTAACAAACAGCTGAAATGAGTTAAGGAATAAGTATACAGTGATATGATATATTCGGTTTGCAGGTGCACTCCTTTTCCACTATTGAAAGGTGGCAAATGAGTCCCATGTCATGCACCATTCTCGGGGTCATTTCAATGCACTGTTCAATTTATGCCCAGGCTCCAGAGAGGAGGAATGACAACGAGGGGGTGGGCAGTATCCCTTCTCAAGAGCTCCTCCAATCTTCAGGTGCAGGAAACGCTCGCTGACTTTCCTTCCCCTCCTAAATTGCAAGTCAAGCGATTCCTCTGCATTTGATTTCAGTCCTTTGGTATATATAATGGCTGAAAGAGCCAGTGCTGAGTGCCTCCAAGAAATCAGTGCTGAATTAGCCTCACTCTGTTTCCTGTTCCAGCTCCTCTCACCATTATTATATGACTAGGGATGCTATTTATGTCCCCCTCCCTCTTCAACACCCCTTCCTGCTCACTACCCCTCTCCTGATGAGCTTGTGGCTTCCACCCGAACCTTGCCCCTCCGCTTACAAAGGACTCACCATCTTGGGGCACCTGAGTGGCTCAGTGGGGTAAGCGTCTGCCTTCAGCTCAGGTCATGATGTCGGGGTCCTGGGGTGGAGCCCCGCGTCGAGCTCTCTGCTCGGCAGGGAGCCTGCTTCCCCTCCCCCCCACCGCCTGCCTGCTTGCTTATGATCACTTTCTGTCAAATAAATAAATAAATAAATAAATAAATAAAATCTTAAAAAAAAAAAAAAAAAATTCACCCTCTTGGGTCAAGTACACGCAGCTCCTAGAGACAGGGTCTGCTCAGGATGAGGAAACTCTAGGTCCTGATGGGTGAGCTGGCGGTCTGGTTTGGCGACCAACCCATTCTGGGACCAAGGCAAGTCCTCTGCCTCCTGAGTTGTCCACTGCTTTCCCCTGAGAAAATGATAAATTGGGGGCTTTTTGTGTTTATTCAGGTAAAGCCCGTTTCTAGAATGAGAAAGCAAGAAAAACTGGGAAAGCATTCACTCTTAACTCATTTCTCATGAAATGGCTCTTCCAAACTTCCAGAAGGGTAACATTTTTTTTTTTTTAGGTCCCCTGAAAATAAGTGGACCCTTGGTGACTAGCTCTCTATGAAAAAGCATCTGGAAAGTTTGTGCTTAGAAAGTGCCCAAGTCATGTCTTAGGGGTAAGGGATCCAGAGCTGGGATCAAAGGCCCATGGGCTGGCATGGTCCCAGCCTCCCGGAGGCAAAGCCATTCCTTTGTACAGAGACCAGGAGGGAGCAGCCCCCAGTGACACCTCCATTAATGAGACCTATAGAGCTATTTTTTATATAGTTTTGAGGCATACATTTCATAACCATAAAATTCACTTGTTTTAGGATATCGTTTATGATTTTCACTAAATTTACAGAACTGTGAAATGATCACCACTATCCAGTTTTAGAGCATTTCTACCACATCTACATGAGTCCCAATGCCCACCTTCTGGC